CAGAGCTAAGCTTTACAATTTGAACATTAGGTAACATTTTATTGGAGTGAATTACTATTCATAAATATGAATGCATATATTACATATATATCTCTATACCACAAACCCAAGACAATTAACAACCCTTAATGAGAAAATATTTTGAAAAGGTGACTGCATTTACAGAGTTAACTTCTTTTGCTACTGATGATTCTTTGTACTTTAATTTTTATTTATATATACTTGTTTTCCTGTAAATGTATGTACTTACTACTGTGTTGGCTAAGGTTAATTAATAATTTGAGAGAGTAATTTGGAACAAAGATCTTCATAGCAGGGCAAACAGCATAAGTCACAAGAACAGCCAGATACAGTACCAGAAGACTGGTTTAATCTGTAAGAGTTTGACTGGCACCGTTGTTCCCAGTGTAACCTTTGCTTTAGTCCAGATGGAGGATGTGTACAAAAAGATCTGCACACAGGAACCTGGGGAGCAGTAACCCAGACATGGCTCTCAGGGCTCAAGGGAGGCAGGGGTGGAAGCCTTGCTCCTGCAAATGCACAGGGAGGGTGAAAAGCCGTGAGGCTGCCTCCAGGTTGCGTGTTGGTAGTTGGGTGAAAGCAATGGCAACACTGTTGGGGAGCAATTAATGACGGCAGGGCTACATTTTTTGACCCATTGTTTTATGCTTAGTGGTTGGTTGGATGCTGTGAAGCTCTATTAATATATTTCTTTTTTTTCTATCACTGGGGGCAGGTTCTTCAATGCACATGGATCAGCCTTGCTGCCAAGCTCTCTATGACTTTGAGCCAGAAAACGAAGGCGAGCTTGGGTTTAAGGAAGGGGACATCATAACTTTGACCAATCAGATTGATGAGAATTGGTATGAGGGGATGTTAAATGGAGAGTCTGGCTTCTTCCCCATTAATTATGTTGAAGTGATGGTTCCCTTGCCTCAGTGATTGTGTCATTCAAGCTGTGAACGTGATTTCATGACTGAAATGGATTCACACATGTTCTGTCAGTGTGGCATTCTGTGAAAGCCTTGCTATTTGACTGACTTACTGACTTTTGTATGCGTCTTTTTAAAATGTATTTATTTTATATTCAAAAAAAATCACCTTCCCTGACTCATCAACCTGCAAAAAAACCCATACCTAGTTTTTTTGCTTTGTGCCTTGAGGATCACTGTATGAAGTGTTTACTGGTAGCTCACTGTTGCTCCAAAAATGCATTTTCTTGCTATTACTGTATGTGATTTTTTTTTTTTTTAATATTTGGCTGCAATGATTTTACTATTGAAAACAAAACATTTTTAAAAATACTCTAAGTGAGGCTAACTGTAACCAATTTCTAAGTTATTGATGTCATTGAGCTCTTTTCATCTATCACACTGTAATTTATTGCAAGCAGGTTAATCCGTATATCACACTGTACGTTGACAAAAGGCAAAGTGGTTGTTGTCAATATTATGATGTTATTGTACTAAGTACAAGTCCTCACCATTGAAAATTCCTATAATTTACTGACCAAACTGAATAAATATTTCTGTGGGGTAAGAACAGTGGTTGCTGCTTCTATGCCTATAGTTCTGGCATTTGAGTCGGACCTCGCTTTGGCTAAACGTATCAGCTTTCAGTGAAGAAAACAATGCTATATTAAAAATGCATTAATAAAGCCAAAGTATTAGTTTTACGACATCTCAGCTCCTGGAATTCTAATAATCTTGCTCTCTCCTTACTATCATGTATCTGTTATAATTTTCTTCTAGCAGGAGGATAAGAGAAACATTCCTTTTGAACTGAGTACAAATTGATCCTAGCTCCACAGGGTTTGTGTAGAACTCCACTGAGATAAATAGGTATCAACTGGTGACTACTGCAAACTACTGGGAAGTCGATGCCCTTCCACTTCTTATATCTGTTTGAAAGGGATGGAGGAGGAGGAGGAGCAAAAGACTAGGTGGAAAGGGAAAGACCTGCTGGAAGTGAAAATATGCCGAAAAAACCCCTTTGACACAAAGACCAGACAGATGCAGGCATCTTCAGTAACATCAAAAAGAAGACAGATTTTGTTTTCTGTTAGCAGAATATGTAAATGCAGATGTAAGAATGACCAAAAAAATTCAGCAGCCCCAGAGGAACATGGAATCTTTTGCCAATTGCTCTCTGCAAGACACTGTGATGAGAAGGGAGCTGAACTCTTTGTGGAATCCAGCTTCAGTTTCAAGCTCTACTTCTTTCTGTATTCCAGTTGAAACAGCCTTCCCTAGAAAAGAAGGAATTTCATGTGTATCACAGGTATAGCAACTTTTCCATCTAAGCAGCATAAATAGCTGCTTACTGGCTAACAAAACCATGGCTTTTCTGGTTTCTCTCATCTCTGGTCTTGGCTTGCACAACGCTTGCAATAGAAGCAGAGGGTTATTCCTTGCAGCTGTAGCTACATCCTGCTACTTTGTGCACACCATCTCAGAATGGGGACTTGCCTATGTGAAGAAGAAAACTCATTAGCCCTTTTTCAAATTTATGGGCAGTTATTAGAGCAGCAACAGAGAAAGTAAGTTGTCCTGACCTAGTTTTTGAATGAAAGTAGCTATGATGTTCTGAATACAAGGTTGGGATTCACAGCTACTTTTGCTTTTTCCCCCGTATGACTGGTGAGACCTCTCTGATAATCTTTCCACAGCAGGCAAGAGAGGCATTGAAATCTCCCCTTTACCTCACCAGAATGCCCTAGAGGAAAGAATTAGATAAACCCCATACACATATGTGTCTCTTTAAAGGTCTGAATTCTCAATATACTTTGCAGTAGACAGCTTGGCATTTAGTATAGAGCTCCTGGTCAGCTGCAATAGATCTCATCTAACAGAAGCAGCTATTGCAGAAGCAGTAAGCTGGAAGCAAGTCAAGCAAGCTATACTATTATTGATTAGGAGATGTCATGAAAACCAGCCATCTTTAAGGTTTGCTGCCAGGAAGACAATTTGCACAATAGCATCAGAAAACTGATTCTTTAATATGTGCCTTTTCAAGACTGTATACTAAGAACAAGTTTCATAAACTCTCATTGAGGTTGCATAGTTGAGTAAATATAGCTAGATCTTGTTTCCCAGGCCATTGGTATTGTTACTAAACAACAGCCTGTACCACTGCTCTTTCCTATCAAGACTTGTACGCTAGTTCAAATCTTTCATAGCTGTTACTTAATACCATCCTTCCCTTGTGCTGTGAAAAGGTTTCATTTGAAATACTGAAGATTCTTCTAATCAAGTTCATAGCATATCAGCTTTATTAGAAAAACTGAGTGATAAATATAAACAAGGCAGGACAGCATATTTCTGAAGGTTTCTTCAGTCTACAGGAATCTTCCCTTCACTGACCAGTTTTATTGCTTCGGGGTCTTTCAAGCCACTCAAGTAAGATCAGTGAACAAACAAATATTTATTATTTAACCTGCAAATACTAAAGTCCAAGACTGCTTTTATATACATGAAAAATACCTTTAATAGTTAAAAAATTTTAAGAAATCAAGATAAATATAGAAATAGATGCTGCTATAAACCTCACTGTGCAGGGACCAGAAGGTAGAACAAGAATTCAGATCTGCTAAGATACAAGTGTTAAACCAGCATCTACTCTTGATATCTCAAAATCACAATTTTTTGAATAACTCACGAATTTAAGCTAGTATAAAGAAAGCCATACCTTAACAACTGCATCCTAACACAGAACAGGTCTTAAATTCAGAAATGAATGCTTTGGCAAGGTAAGGTAAGAGGCAGTCAAAAAATCTATTCCAGCATTTGTAGAAATCTGCCATCTCAGCTGTCCTGCTCACCTCATGCTCTGAACCAGAAGCACGCTTGATGTGGCTCATCAAGGCCTTTCCTTCACCACAGAGCCAGCAGGCAGGCATTTCGCTAAAAAGAGGCTAAGAACAATTGAGGGCAGTGGCCCCGGAGGCTGACTGCCTAGTTTCCAAGGGTTACAGATCAGGCTTCACATGGACTAGAGAGCTACAAGAGTTACAGTAAATTGCATACTGGCCAATAGACAGTATTCCCCCAGCTGCTCCAGTAGACATACACAAAGCAGCACTGCAGACTGCACAGAGATTTAGTATGTAATGACTAAGAGCAGGTGGTTTTGATGCACCTTTTGCTACAGTAGGTACTTTCTAGTTCAGATTCTGAAATGCTTGTTTTCCTAGCACCTTAGAAAGCTGGCTTGTTGGGACTGTTCAAAGAGAGCACTAATATTGCTAGTTACAGTACCTTCTGTTGGAATGAGATGCTTTTCACATTTACAGGATACATCTGTCCAAGTTAAGGTTGACACAGCTATGCTGTTACATACTCTAGGAATATACAATACTGAAACCAGTAGATTGCTGGGTGCTAGCATATAGAAACAGTACATTTAACAACAGACAAGAATGTTTTTACAACTTGCTTTTAAATTAATGTTTCATTCTAGGAAGTTCGCTAGAAGTGACCTAGAGCAGTTTTGTCTATTTCATCATCAGGATCTGAGCATGACACATTTCAGACACTCGGCACTATTCAGGATAGTGTTTTACTTCAGCCAGATTGAGACTTGCTCAAGGTTCAGGCTAGACTGTGATCTGGCCCATTTAGTTTCCCACTCAGGCTTGAAACTGAGATCATCTTTGGAGAAATACCATATCAGAATATTGAAAGCTGAGGCAGCTTCATGCTTGTCGTTGAGTATTTAGCATCCTTCTAGGGCATTTGTTTAGAAGCTTTGTAAACTGTGTACCCTCCTTTGTTTCAGCAGGTCATGGAAACCAGATCCTTGTGTTAGAGTAAAAATAACTTCACATGGAGCTTGTATTCAACTGCTCTTTGTATCAGTGAATCCAAGGACAGGGTCCCGTACCAGAAGATAGGAAATTTCACCGTGTTAAGGACAGCGCTTCATACAAAGAGGTCAGATGGGAGATGCAGAAGATACCAAAATAGATACAGTCTGTGTCAGCTAGACACAGAGCAGTGTTTTCAGATTATCATCTTTGTCCATGTGATATAAGACCTAGCATTCTCATTTTGCTGCCAAAATAAAACAAAGACATAAGGTTAACATGTGTACAAACAGTATTTATTTCTCATTACCTACTTAATCCGGATATAGGTTGGAGGGTGGGGATGGTATTAGTGTTTTGTAGATTTAGTTATTAATAAAACAAAGCAGATTTTCAAGAGAGGCAGTACCTTAACTATACTAGATGGGGAAAAAGAATATAAGCTTTTAAGAATTTGAGTCCATACAACGCATAAGCCTGTCTCTTCCTTACTGAAAGGCTATCAAGGGGTCTATCAGTGCCCCAGTTCTGAATCATCAAAACTTAACTGGCATGTAGTTCATGCTTCCCTAGTAAGGATGGCAAAAGTGGAAGCACAACACCATGGAAACCCCAACTTCAAAGCACAGCGTGCTCTTTGCATCATTTTACTTCATGCAAGAAGCTAACTTTTTTACTAAGCTGCCATTATTTCAGTACTACTAATGCAGCAGAAGCATGTAGGTACTAATGACAACAGTTTGATAGGAATTCAGACAGAAATTACATGAACACTTGAGTTGGAGTTTTAGAATTTATTCTTAGCATAAATGGCACACAATTATATTGTAAAGTTGCTGATAAAATAGATTAGAGGTGTAAGGAAAAGTTATTTTTGCTTTCTATCACCGATTGCTGAAAAGCCAATTCAAATAAAGAACTTTTAAAAAATGGTCAGTCAAAAGCCATTTGGAGGGGCTAGGGAGTCTTTCATGGGGCATTACAACATTCTAAGTGTACCCAAAGGACTGTAAGTGTACTGAACACAAACCATGCTTATTCTGTTTAACTATCTTAACTCCATTAGCATGACCCGCATCTGTGCTGAAGTTGTGCTTGGAAAGTCTTGAAGGGAATATTTATGACTGAAGCAAGGCAGAGATACTTGTTTTACTGTGCAAAATAAAAAGTAGTAGTTCTTGAGAATGAGCTGAGATAGAAGTGCCTCAAACTCATGCTTTAATTTTGGAAGTACTTACAAAATCAATACACTAAGGACTTTGACTTCAGCCTTTCAATACTTTTGAATGGAAATAACTAGGTTACTTCAGTTTGAATTTAAGTTATCTTACAAGCAAGTCTGGGACACTGTTTGGAATGTTAGATAAGTTACTTCATCCCAAAGGAATTAGGTATTTCTAGCTAATCTTTGCACTCTGTTCTTGGTGTAACAGCTTTTACGTTTATTCATGGTCAGATGCAGGGATGGAATAGACATTAAAGCAACTGTTTTTCAGTGTGTTAGTAGTAAGATCAAATAATGCTACTATTTCATGATATTCAGCCAGAGAATAAGCAAAACATCAGTTCCACTTCTGATGCAAAGCCATGCAAGCTACATCCTCTGTAGGACAAGAGAGACTGCAGTGCTATTAGTGAAGCAAGTTTTCTATGAGATGACAAGCATGATTCTCACCACCTCACCTGCTTAAGGATGCTCACAGGAATCACTGTCATGAAACGAAGCAACACTTCTTTTTTCTTCTTCTTTTGGTCTGACATCAAGAAAAATGTTAAGAATTGTAGGATATGGAACAATAAAATAATGAAATAGTTGGGGAACTATTTTCCTACAGCAATGAAAAGAGATGGCCATTTAACAACTCTGTTGATAGCAAGCACTTAGACTTCAGGCAGCTCACCTGAGGAGAGAGAAGCTCTGTTTCACTTGTTATTTCTTCATAATCATCATCTTGCTCACTGCTTTCTTCTCCTCTGGGTACATGCATTATCTTCCTCTCTGCAAGTTCCTAGAATGCAATGAATTACCATCAGGAACCCTCAAGAATTAAGCACATGGAGCCAGTCTAGTATTAGGACATAAGAAGTGATTTAATGTCTCACCTCACCATCGTCTGTGATGAGGATAACATCAATAGTATCCGCAGCTCCCCAAGATTTCTGAGACTTCCAGACCAGGTCACTAGGACCTGGGCTTACACCAGCAGATGCACCCCAGATCTGCAACAGATTTAGAGTAAGCTTCTGAAGAAGCCATTTGTAGTTAGATTAAGATTTAGTCTAACGTAAGAAACTCCATACTCCAATACCAAAGACGTCCAGTAGCAGAAACTGAACTACTGTGATCCCAGGTAGCCGAGTTCTTTTCAGGGATGGTGGCAATTAGTTTTTTTTTTTTTAACTGAGGATTATAAAACAGTTAGTGCAGAAAAGGTTATTAAAAGCTTCTACTTGATGTAGAGGTAGCCTTGTTTGAACACATACCATGTGAGTCACAGAGCCAAGCTACAGTTACAGACACACTCATAGCAGCAATTTGTGTATACAAGATAGCCTCTAGCCTGGGCTCACTCAGATCTCTTGAGCAAGCCTGTACACAGTCTGGAGTACAGAGTATAGAGTTAGGCTCTTTGATCACTATCTAAGTGTACTTAGAGTACCATTTTAGAGTTAATATTTAGCTTTGTACCATAAACCATGAGCACAGCATTGCTGGACTGTAGCGGACTAAAGCTTCTAGCAACAGCCTAAGTTTTTGCAAAACTTTTATCAGACTGCAGGAGCATGGGGAATCCCAAGAATAAATGAGAATATATTGATTCTGTTTGCACTAACAGCATATCCCATTCTGGGATGACCCAAGCTCTAGATTTAAAGAAAATTTAATTGACGTTTCAGATCACGTTGATGCAAGGATTTTTCCCCATCTCCCTCTCCACATAAAATAAGGATCTTAGTTGCTTAAGCACTTGCAATATCAATTTAGTTTTCCTAATGACATGAATCTCTATTGCCATCTCACATAACAAGAACAGAGCTCCAAGTAAGTTTTACAAACCCACCACCTACTGTAACTACTTGGCCTGCCTGAAGAGTGAACTGTGAAGGAAATTTGTATGTTGCATCTGACACAGTTCCAAGATGTCGTCTTAACACCCATCCATGTAGTGGCTGATCCTGTGGGACAAGAAATTTCTCTCAGCATTACAGACCAACACTGTATCATACAAGTGCAAAATTCTTCCAGACTCAAGGGTCAATTTTAGTCCCACTCTTACAGCATACAAGAATCTGATCAACCCTGAGGAAGCCTTCAAGTTTCCATTAATGCCTACCTATGGTTTCTCCCTGTGCTTCTTTAGGATTAATCTTACTCCCACAAATTTAAGCATACCTATTCTTGCCTTCTGTTGAAGGGGGATTATGGTGCTTTTCACCAAGGAGATTCTGTTAAATGAAATTTATCATGCTGATCTATCCACTTGTGCCATATGTAGTGCCACATACACAGTGGCCTGCAAAGGTTTAAGGTTCATCTCAGGCTGTAGTGGCTAAGCTACCACCCACAAGTTCTGAAGCTCTAAGGATTAATTCTAATAATTCTGGATTTGCAAACTGAACTAGTCAAAGAATTATCCAATTGGTCAGGTAAACCCTCTGCATGGATTAGGTACTGTCAGCTCTATCCAACCTTTTTGCTTTTTTAAGCATTTTTAAGTTATAAGAAGCCGCTATTAACCAATTTACTAAGCACCTTATTTAGTTCCTCTGGGACAAGCAGTACTTCTGATAGTGCTAGGCTGAATCTGATCAGAAACAAATGAAGGTGTTAGATTTCTACATCACACAACCCAGGGCACCTCCCTACAAAAGCGCCTCCTAGATGGCCCTATGAACAAAGCACCTGCAATGTGCAGGGAAAAAAAGTCAGTTTTTGTCTTGACAGCACCTAGGTTAGCCAAGAAGTCCCCACTTGGTATTTTTTTTTGGTAGTACTCTTCTTCCCTCATATCTTCATCCTTCCCTACTGTCATCTCACTGAGCTATGAATCAGTTCACAAGTAGCCATACTTCACAATGAAGGCCATGCAGGCTTGAATGAACAGAAGTACCTCATCGGAGTTATTCTTAAGCCTGACAAATTTCCCATCTGCATCAATTTCTTCAATAGATACATTTCCAGAAGATGAAGCATGCTGAACAATCTTAAATCCAGCACTATGCCCTCTCTTTTTGACTTCTTTCATTTTCCTTTTCTTCCCAGGCAGGAACTGTCGCACTTGACCTGTTGATTGAGTTGCAGTGCTGTATGAAGATGGACTGGGTGACAGCTTTAGCCTAGAAAGGAGGCAGAAAACATTCACTTGAATATCTGATGTGCTTATTTCTTCTCACTCCTGTCCTCCCACTGTAGCCAAGCTGAACAGCTTCTTATGTCCAAGCTTTCCATCAAGTCTTGAATATAAGATTTTACTTTTACTGGCAAGAGTAGTTAAGTAGTTTGTTAAGTCTGGAAGACAGCCCCAGCCCTAGAGTTCAGAGAAAGCTTATGGAAATAAGAAAAGATGTCTAACTGCAGTAAGTACTCCTTTAAAGTCTTTACAGACACAATCTTTGGTCAAAGTAGTTTAAGAGTTTTGACCCTTCTTAGCATGTACTGAGAGCTCACATTGTTCTCACCAGGCAGTGTCTGGATAATTGGGAATTAATACAATTTCCCAGTTCCATTCATGAAACTTGAGCACTGTCTTTGATGTATCTCCAGGATGTAGCACAAAACTTTGAGAAAGTTGAGGGATGTCCAATCTGAACTTTTATAGGTTTGGTTTATCAAGTTACTTCATCTTACTGCACCATGAGGTGTATAGAGGATATAAATACCATCTGCAGAAGATTATGCTGCAAGAACTAGATTACACCACTAATAACATATTTATTTCTTGTTGCTTCCTCCACTTTCTGAAGAATATACAGTTAGTGTAGAGATCTTGACTGAAGCAAGGTGTCATACAAAGATCTTATCATAGCCTACCTCTGTTCCTCTCCTTCCAGCATTGTTCTGTAGGCACTTATTTCCAGATCTAAAGCCAGTTTCACATCTAAGAGATTCTCATATTCTTCCAGCTGTGCTTGTGCCTGCTGCTGGGCTTGTGCCATTTCTTCCTCTTTTTCAGCCATAAGCCTTTGATGGAGATGGCGGTCTTTATCCAGCACCTCCTGCAGCTCCCTTACTCTGTTCTCCAAAGCAGCATTCTAAAATTAAGGGGATGGAAATATCAGTTAAACCATAACTGAAGATTAGAGAGGAGAGGCCAATATTTGGAATTGGCTAAGTAAATGAAAAGAATTCTAAGATTATACAAATAAAGATAGTACCTGGCTTTGATATTGATTAAGTTGAGATGTCAGAGTATCAAATCTCAGCTTTTTTTCCATGAGCTCCTCCTGAGCAGCTTTGGCAAAGTCGCTGTGTTTTGCAACAGATAGCTGGGCATTCTCCATCTATGGGTAAGTTACTGTTAGTAATAAGTTGCTTATGTACATGTATATTAAATAAGAAAACCAAGTGATTTCCAGCTGTTACATCTGGAAATAGTTTTTTTTACTTAAGTGTGCAGATAGCAATGAAGTCCAGGTCAGAAAGTTTTTCACTGCTTTTCAGAGAGGTTTAGGAAAGTTTGACATTCACATTAGAAAAAGTCAACAATTATCAGGTAGTGACAATTGCTGGGTTAGGATATTTCAATTACAGATGCATGAAGATCTTGTATAGATATTAAGTAAATTGATTCTCCAGGAGAACAATGGTGAATATGGTTAGAAGTTGCTTGTCAAAGCAGGGGGCTACAGGGTATTAGGCGTGCTTTTCCTTTCTTGGAACATTTCGAGATTGAATTGTTCTAGAGCAATTCATCACTGCTTATGCAGGAACTTGGGAATAGCATTTTTGGGGAAGAGCAGTAGTTTGATAAAATAGAGCCATCCTCCAACAGTGGAAAGCTGAACAGAAACACCCAAAGCAATTCATTGAGCTGGCATGTAGTTTGGAGTATAGAGAAAGCCAGAAGAACGAGGACAAAGTGACACGTACTTGAGAGAAGCAGCAGATCCTATGATTCTGTATGGACTACTAAAGAAGGCTCAAGATACCAACACCATACACGGCAACCAACCCTGAAGCCTCTGGGATCTTGCCTATCAAGAGCATAAGCCCAAAGTACTGCTTTTTCCTGCATATGTGGCGAATGTTGGGAAAGAGGTGACAGACCAGCTCTGGAAGATATACTGTCAAGCTACTTTCACAGCCACCCTCTCCCTTTTATCCAGTACCAGTGACTTGGAAGGGACTTTTGGACTCAGATTTAAAAGTGGTCTTGTAGAATTTTAAGCATGCCTAATTGCATGCATTTTAGTAAAACTGCAATTGATAGATTGAGTTTTACTCAATAATAATGAAAATGCTTACTATGAGCACAGCACACCTTGGTGATGCATTTGCCACACAAGCTCTCGGATTTGTCAGACGACTGAATTATGATGGACTCTGCTACTTGGGCCATTCTTAATCATTCCCCAAAGGGACCATATTTATACGTGAAGCAGTTTTGCTTGGGATGAAGTAGAAGTTCTGTTGTCAAATTTGACACTGCTTTGAAATTCCAGAACAACTTATGCCACGAAGCTCTGCACTGAACACAAGGGCTTTTTATGCTAGTGTGACTTTAATCATATCAAGGTGCAAAGAACTTAAGCTTTGTTTTACTTTATCTTTTACAGACTCACTTTTGCATGGAATGTTCGCTCCATCTCCTCTTTGTATCCTTGAATTTGTTGTTCTTGTTGTTTTCTGAGCTCCTGCAGAGCATCCAAGAGCTTACTCTCAAATTTTCTCTGACAGACAGATTCCATTTCTCCTATCCTGCTCTCATAGACTCTTTTTGTCTCCTTGAGCTCCTAAGAAAAGAAATTTCTCAGAGAATAAGCAAGCCAACAGCTTGATTTGAAACTGCATTTACTGTACCAGGGTAACAAGTCATTCACTATTGAAGCAAATTTATCACTGAGTGCACAGTAATTATCTTTACTCAGATCTTAGACACTCATCCATTAGATCAGGTATTTCCACCTTGCTAGCTGCACTGGGTTGTTTTGCTACCTCACTGCCAACATTGCTTAAACTAATAAATGCAGTCTTTTTTATTTACTTTTAAGACTAATTGTTTGCACTAGATTGATTTCTCTACTTCACTTACAACACATGCATATACACTTCTGTTTCTTTAAGCACTGTTACTTCACCTATTGTTATTTTACTCAAAAAGTAATAGCAGTTGGTTAGATGAATTAGAATTCTCCATCACTTACACCACACACTGATATTCCTTACAGTCAGAAGGAAGTTGTTTTACAGTTTTACATCCTTTTTTTTTTTCAGTTCTATGTACTGAATTCTCACACAAAGGTTACCAGACCCCTCTGATAAGTGTTAAGGAAGTAGGGAACATAAGTTGCTTATTAAAGGAGACTTAACTTCTTTGATTATTTTAAGCTTCTAGCAAACATCTGGAATCATTTAACTTTAACTGTAACATATGCACTTTCAGTTACATAAAGTAGTATATTGGGACTGTAGTTACCTTCCGAAGTGCAGTCTGAGACAATTATCTAATATTCCAGATATCTATTGGTACTACGCCAGTTAACAAGAGGTTGTGTACTTTCTTGAAGTCTTCCTAGTTAGGTGGATTTTATTGGCTGGTGGGCTGTCATAGGTTGACTCAGCTAATTAAATTTTTAAGGATAAAGCATCTCTTAACATTGCTTTTAAGTGCATCCAGGGATCATGGACACCTACAAAAAAAAACCTTGTTAATAAGCTAAAACATACATCTTCATGAAGGCGCTGCGTGAACGTCATTTGTTCCTGCAAAGTTTTCTTATTATTTTCCAAGTCCACTATCCTCAACATTTCATCATGGAGATGCTTTTTGCTATCTTCCAGCAACAGCTTCACCTAGAAAAGACAGAGTAATCAAAATTAAGAGGTCGGTTTTTCCCAACTAAGACAGTCAATCTATTACAGGTCATTCAACTTCATTCTTGCAGCAATAAAAACACATCTCTTAAGTGAAGCTGCTTTAGATTCTAATTTAAGTGACATTCAGCATATTAGCAACAGAAGGAATCCTGTCTGTTATGCAGAGCAGATTTCCCAAGACCAGAAGGCAAATACAGAGCAGTCCTTAATCCCATCAACTAAGTTTGACTCTTCAAAGTAGAATTCTGATGAATTAATTTATCATCCATATACATTTCTCCCCTTTGCAACACTATTCCAAACTTGCCCCTGACTTCCAATGTAATTTGTTTGATGCTTAACAAGTGAAGTCCTGCAAATATAGCCTGTGTTGATAAACTATTATACACTTCTCAGCAGTGGAATGTGCTGCTTTAATGATACAAGTTTGTAGTTTGTTTTTCTTTAAGTTTGCATCCTAAAGATTTGAAATGGACTTAATCAGGGATTACATTAAAGCATGAAGATAGAACAGATATGCTCTTAGAAATCCATTGATAGAGTAGAAACTCAAGCAGAGTTTGCTCTAGTAACACAAGAGCCTACAAAAAAAAAAAGCATTCAGAACTTACTTATTCTACCTGAACTAAAGCATAATGAAGCAAGGTCCATCAAACACTCCCTTTGTTGACACGTTAAAGAATGGTACAGGGGCTATAGCAGCACAACACATTTCAACTTGCTTTGTCCTTAGAACAAGAAACATTACATACTGTGGTCATAGAATAGAATTAGAAGTACCTACAACAGTTGGAAGTTTTAATGGACCAAGTCTCAGTAGCATGCGCTTTCAGCAAGATTGCAGCAATCTTTTGTCCACCTGTTGTTGCCATAGATAACAAGACAGATCCCTGCTTTTAGATGTCAATAACTAGTGGGGGAAAACCAAGCAAAAGCTTGAGGAACAAAAGCAAAGTTGAAATTCCAGGAATCAGTCTTACACGGCCTACTTCATCCTTTAATTCCTGAAGGTCGTTCTTCAAGCTTTGGTTCTCGTTCAAAACTGCTGCTAAGTCAGACTTCTTCGCACTCAGCTGAGCATCAAGGTCTCTCACATGAGCCTGGGACAGGTTTAAGTCAGCTTCTGTTTTTGAATTCCTGCAAGTAAAAGTTTCACATTGCTAAGTTGCAGCCCCTGAGGGAGCAAGTTCGTTTTTAACGTGTCCACCTTCACAGGGGTCCGTGGCAGAACTGAAACAGAAAAGAGTCGTTAGCACTTGTGGCGAGAACGCAGGGCGGCCTATAAAACAAACGGGACAGGCCCTCAGACAAGTATCTTTTGTCTGGCCAGAAAGACTTCTGACCCAGTTTCCAGCCCGTTTTGTGCGAGTCCTGTTCAGAAGCCAGCGATTTTCTGCAGGGTCACCAGCCGGAGCGGGAAGG